ATTGTGTATGCGATGACAACCCTGTGACACAAGAGATGATACCGAGATATGCAACACGATGATATGATATGTATTCTATGGAGAGTATGATCACTAATGTGCACAAGTCACGTTGCCGGCAATACTCAATGGCTAGTCTCGATGGGTAAGCTACGCAAAAGTAAGGCTATGGTGGTTATCAATGCAAATGGCAAGAATGTATGATGATATCACGATACCAAGATGAGGTTGATACCAAAATGATGAGGTGTTCGTAGTAATCCTTGGCGAAGAAGCGGCGGTGATGTCGATGTCGAACCATACCTAGATAGCCGAAACACAATAGGACACGGTTACGCAACATAAATTCTCAAAGCAAAAAACGTGACAAAATTGTCGGAGGTGGTAGCGGTAAGGCTATGGTGGTGCTATGCGGAAGTGGTGGTTGTATGCGGAACTGGAAATGGGCACCGGGTCAAAATTGGACGAAAGTTAGACGGAATTGGAGTGGTGGATGGAAGTGTTGCTGTTAGGGGTCGGATGTCCGGGCTGTCGGGCCGGATGTCCGAGCTGTGGATCCGTGGACGAACTCAATGAACACCGCGTGGAGAGGTCAAATCCGGGGCAAAATTCGGAAGATTTGGTGGATGGAAATTGGGGGAAAGATTGGGAAAAGCTAGATCTACCTGCAACACACGAAATCCGCGGATCAAATCCAACAAAACTTCATTACACCAACAAATCACAAAAAAAATTGGGGCTATTTTTGTGGGGCTATTTTCGAATTAGGGACAAAATCAACAAAACTAGGCTAGAAAATAAAGAGAGAGGGCTCCGAAATCGTGATCAACGTGGCTCATGATACCAAGATGATGTAGGGTGGAACCCTATTGCCGATCTTTCACGAAAGGAGCAGATCCCAACTAAGAACACGAAGAAAACGAGGGAGATCACGAGGGAAAACACAAGAGAAACACTAAACCAACAAGATATAGTCACACATGTGCTAGATCCTCGACACACGAGAGGGGATACAAGATTCAAATCCAACAAAGGACGATACAAATGGTAACCGGTTCTTCTCCTAGAGGAGGTCTTGATGGGGCCACCCAAAAGGGGGTCTTGAATCCAAGGGGATCGTCTCCATAGAGGGGTCGCGGTCTCTCTCGTGGAGTAGATCTGTAATGGATGAGCAAACCTATCCTCACATATGAGCTATACCAATGTTAACCCTAAAAGGGGGGAGGAGGAGGAGTATATAGTCTAGGGGGGCGAAAGGTTACATGGGCCTCGGGCCCTTACACTGTGCGCAGACAGGGGAGGCTGGATGTCCGGGCGAGGTGCCGGATGTCCGGGCTGGCGTGGCTGGCCTTGACGCTTTCTGGATAGACGGGGTCCGGATGTCCGGGCGAGGGGCCGGATGTCCGGGAGCTCGGGACGGGCCGGATGTCCGGGCCTTTGGCCGGATGTCCGGGCTGGAGTGGTTCAGCTTCTGGCACGTTCTGTAACGGGCGCCGGATTTCCGGGCGGAGGCCGGATGTCCGGGCTGAGGCCGGATGTCCGGGGCCTGTAGGCTTGGGCGCTGGCTCCTTGGCGCTGGAAGGCCGGATGTCCGGGTTCCTAGCCGGATGTCCGGGTCCTGGGAGTTGCACTTGACTCCTTCCGTTGGTTCTCCTCGTCCGTGAACTTGGCGGCTTGTCCGTCTTCATGAGCATCTCCGGGAGGGTCCTCTTGACACCTAATCATGCATAGCGTATCGGACTTAGGTAGTAGCCATGTCTCGAGTGGATCATATGTGATATCACTAAGGAAGGAAGTCACCTCGTTCTTGAGAGCTCTAGCTCGTGCTCGTGTCATAGGTCCTCTTGGCTCTTGATGAGACGATGGTAGGTCCATGGGGATGACCGTAGGACGCTCCGCATCAAGAAGTCCCATTCAGAGCAGCGCGACGACAACCAGCGTATCGTGAAGGGCGGGCAGACGCGCGAATGAGGGCCATGGGGGGTTGCCGGGTCAGAGAATAGGTCAGGTGGTTGCGCTAGTGCCGGAGTAGAGGCGTGGGGTCGACAGCGGCAGCGGGCGACAGAAACCGATTTTAGATACGAAAACCAAAAAGAAGAACACCGATTAAAACGACCGACGAGAGAGAAAAACCCTGGTCAAAGGATAGAAGAAAATGACTTTCTAGGGCAGCCGATCAACAGGACCGATGGATGAACCCTAGATATGGGTGACGCAGGCCCCAATGGCGACCATGGAGATCGACCGCCTCGGGGCGGCACGGTGCGAAAGCAACGGCGGTGCCTAGGGTTTGGATCAAGGTTAGGCTAATACCATGAAGTAAGGAATAGAGAGGGACATTGATGAAATTGTTCGATGTATTGTTCGAGCCTTGTTTGTCGTTGTCATTGTTTTGTGGCCTCTGCTAGTAGGACGTGTCCGTAAGGTGCCACGCCAACTGGCTGACCACGACCGTTGAACGTTGACAGACAGCCAGCGGTTTGGCCTCTTTACCTGTAACAGCCATGGCTTTCGGGTAGTCGTTTGTCAAGGGGGGCAGACGGGCATATAAGTTTTTCGTGGGCCATGGGCACACTTAAGTGCAAAAAAAGGTCGTTTAGGCAAATAGATGAAGTGACGCGCCCTGCTATGGATGATCTCCGCCGCTGGCATGGCGGTTGACGGCCCCAACTGCGCGTCCTTCTATAGACATAGACATGATGCCCCTGCCTTAGCCATGCCTCTTCTACAAGCTGCCGCTGTGCTGCTAGCTCAGGTCAAAGCTATTAGATACCAACCTATATGTTATGTTAGGATAAGTATTACTTCCTCCGTTCCTAGATACCCCCTCAGTCCGGAAATACTTGTCAGGGAAATGGATATATCTAGATGTATTTTAGTTATGAATATACTTGTCAGGAAAATGGATATATCTAGATGTATTTTAGTTATGAATACATTTATTTTTATTCATTTCCGCAACAAGCAATTCCGGACAGAGGGAGTATAAGTCTTTTTAGAGATTTCAATAACAACCACTCCTTCCGTCTCAAAATAAATGTCTAAACTTTATAGTAACTTTAGTACAAAGTTAGTATAAAGTCATACATTTATTTTAGGACAGAGAAAGAATATGTAGATGTATATAAACATATTTTAGAGTGTCTGTATATAAACATATTTTAGAATGTAGATTCACTGATTTTCTTTTTTATATAGTCTTGATTTTATACATCAATTTCCCTGACAAATATTTCCAGGCGGAGGGAGTATTAGCTGAATAACCTCTAAAAGCATAGAGATATTATTAGGTTCAGAACGAAAAGAAACCTATGCCTAACAACAAAGATAACACACTATAAACTAAGGTACTCCCTCCAATCCATATCACCTGTCACTCAAACAGATGTAGCTAGCAATGAAATACGTCTAGATACATATGGATCCGGAAGATTATTATAATATCACCATGTTTCTTAGATACTCCCTGCATTTTTATTTACTCCGCATATTAGAGTTGACTAAAGTCAAACTTCATAAAGTTTATAAACATTTACCAAACCAAATCTATATGATGTGAAAGTACATTCAATAATAAATTTAATTGTATTGATTTGTTATTGTATATGTTCATATTTTTGTTTGTAAACTTTGTCAAAGTTTACAAAGTTTAACTTTGGTCAAAGCTAATATGCAGACTAAATAAAAATGGAGGGAGTACCGAATTCTTCTGCACTGTCAGACAAGAAAAATGATAAAAGAGAACACGATCAGAACAACTAACCAGCAGCCAACTGTTTAAAGGGCTTCAAATCTCATTATGTTTCAAGAACTATTTTCATTCAAGTAAAACAGAGAAAAATTCATTTGAGGGGGTAGCCTTGACATCATAATCACAGTTGGTTCTCAAGAATATTTCTATTCAAGCAAATTTTTCTAGTAAGAAATATACCGCCTCCGATCCAAATTAATCAATGCAGCCTCTTATTTTGTATAGAGGTTGCGTCAATTAATTCGGATCGGAGGGAGTACCTTACTTATCTTTCGATCTAAGTCCATGATGAATGATGCCACTGGATGATAGTTCCCTTTTTAGTGGGAGGCGACAAAGACATGTCATACTGCTTGTTGATGCTTGGGTAAAAGCAGAGATTGTGAAGTTGCTACAAAAAGTAAAATCCCCAAAACTAAAAGATTATGATGATAGTTGGATAATCAATATTAAGCTATATTTCTTTTAGAGCTGATTGGAAGAAATGAGCTGGACCGATGAGAGTTTGTTATATAATTTTTTAGAGGAAAGGCATCGGCCGAGCCCGAGAGGAGGCTCGAACCTAGCCCGGCTTTGAATTAACAAAGCCATCAACCGGCCAAGATTACATCGATCAACCACATACAAGCAACATGAAAAGGAAAGAAAAGGAAGACACTGAGGCACAACAACCTCAGGCGGCCGATACAAGGTGCAAAACAGGACAGTGCACAAACCAAAGACTACACAAGCAGCTACCAAGATGAAGTTGAAGAACTAAGCTTGGTCAGTCAAGGTCTTCGTCCACCGAAGCAACCAGCACCGGACAAACATCGAACTTGTGGAAAGCAACAATGTGAAAGGAGAAGGCTCAAGTCCACTCCAGCATGATGAACAACCTGGGCATAATGAAATCCGTCTTCGTCGCCGTAGGAGGCCACAACCTTCTCGTCGTCGGCAGGCGAAGTGGTTCCCCAAGAACCCGGATTCACAAATGTCAACCAGGTGTACCATGGGAGGGGCTGCAGCAGACCACATTGTGCTCCACAAGAAACTTCAGTTGCCATGGCACAACCACGAAGGAGACGCACACTGCAGGATAGGAACATGAACCAAATCGACACGGCGAGAGGTTGATGAAGAGCAATGCCGCCACTGCAGCCACCAATACATCCAAACTCGACATCCACCCTGCAGTCCAAGGACGACGCCTTCAGGAAGGGGAACGGTGCCGTAGCGCCGCCGTCGTCCCGAAACAGGACCAAGGTTTTCACCTAGATGCAGGGGCAGATTGGTGGGGGGTGGGATACCTCAACGAAGCCTCCAAGAAGTAGTTCGACGCCGCGGCATCGTCGTCGTTGTGGCCGCCGCCGGCGGCCAAGGGTTTCCCCCGGTCCCAGGAGCCCCACCGCCAAAACACCGCCAACCGCCGGATCCGGCGAGCAGAGTCGCACCGGAGCTGAGATCGAACGGGAGAAGGCGAGGAGGGTGGAGTTGGAGCTGGTCGAATCAGATCTGGAGGCGGACCGACGGAGGAAATCCGGCCACCGCGAGCTCCATCCACCGGGGCCTCGCCGCCCAAGCAAGCCGAGGAGCCCAGCCGAGCACCCGCAGCCGCCGTCCGCCGCAGGGAGCAGCGCTGCCCACCTTGACCGGGGCCGCCACCCCGGCACACCATGCCCTCCACGCGAGGCAGGAGCGGCAAGCCTCGCCGCCACCTTCCTTGGCGCCGCGCGGGCTTGCCGGCGGCAGTCTCCAGTGGCGGCAAGGTCTGGAGGAAGGAGGGGAGAGGCCGGCGGCGTGCTAGGGTTGGGGGCCGCCCGAGTCGCCCCAAGGGAGCGACGCGGGGGCGGGTGAGGGGGAGGGGCCTTGTCCATTTCCCAGTCATCATTCAGAGTTTGTTATATAAGGAGAGTATAAACATTACAGGTGCACTATATAAAGTATATTGACAAAAACATTATAGATATTTCAATATGGACTACATACGGATGTATATAGACACTAAGGAGGTCATGGTCTGCACGAAATTCTTGGGGCCTAAAGCTTCTTGGTTCCTCCCCTAGCCAATCCACCTTCCGAGTTAACCGAGTCAAATCAATACAATTTTAGTTCCATTGTGAGTATCCAACATGCTCTGAAACAACTGAATATTCTCCTAAAAAACAAATGAAAAGCACTCTGAATAGATGCAAACTTTGAGAATTTCTTGCTGATTCAGTCCAGAGGAAGAGACGGCGATGGGGTGGTAGCAGCGGCAGAGAGTGAAGAGATGCAGGGATGAAGAGAAGACGGAAACGGGGGCAGCCACAGTGATGGTGCTCTGAAAGGAGCAGAGGCAGCCCCGACAGCAGCGTGCGAACAGGAGCGAGGGCGGCCATGGCAGGAGGTACCGCCGAGGAGGAGAAGAGCGATTGCGGCGCGAAGGCGGACGGGCGGCGGGTGGCAGCCGGAAACCCTAGCGTGGGCGCTTGGAAGAGGGCAGAATGGGAGTTACAGTGCGGTGTTGTGCGGTTGTGCGAGGGCGAGAGGCCAATGAAGCCAGACACCAACCGACTATAGCGGGCCTACTGCCAGCCATATGTTCACTTACAAATGGGCCCACCAACACCATCCAAAACCCCAACGAACCGGAACACATCATTTCAAGGGAGCTTAAGTTTTAGAATATACATATATTCAAACAGACAAAGACCAGATAGATTGGCTATCAGGAATAAGGCTCAAGTGTACTCTCATTTCAGAGATGTGCTTGCATTTTTGTAATATATTCAATTTTAGTTAACTGTGACAATCTGCATGCTGATAAGTCTCAGCTATGCTTGCACGCATCATATTTAAAGTTAGTGAGCAGCACAAGTACTTCACATTCAGTCTTGAATCAAAGGAAATATCATCATATTTGAAACGATAACAAAGACGTTGCACTTTCTCTAGGAAAAGATGTATATTAACCCACTAACTTATTAGTGATGAGATGTTTGAATGTAGCAAAGCATGGATTTTCAAGACTTCAGAGCCAAATGGAAGTGATTAAAAGGCAAAACCTTTGCAAGTAGAGCTTTCCCTGTTCCCCATACAGTATGACTCCATTGGGATGCCTGATCTCTTGAATTTGAGCATCTAAACCACCAATGTCAGCACAAGACTCCAAAGGTGCCATTTCAATTCTCATGACAGAAACCATAGGATCAACTTCATCTTGCAAAATTCCGGCCACCGTAAAGCTCAATAAATAAATACTCCGATGCAGACTTGAAATTCATCACATCAATCAAACAAATACTCCGATGGCCTAATCTAACCAGTCCTCTCTCTCTCTCTCTCTCTCTCTCTGTCTCTCTCTCTCGCTCCCTCCCTCCCTCTCTCTCTCTCTCTCTGAGTATATAAATAAATAAACCACAAAAAGAATATGAGAGCTGAAGACTTAAATAAATGCAGATTTTGAAGAAAAAGTGCTAAACCACAACAACTAGCAATCACTTCACTCTTGCCAATTGAATAAATATCATGGCCACAGATTGTGCCAACTTTTCTTCTCCTGGTAATTGCAAACATGTAGTAAGGACCAAGAAACTTCATAAAACCTGAAGAAGCAAACAAGTGGTAAATGTTATAATTTGGACAGCTAAAACGATTTGATTGATATATATACACTATGAATCTCAGCTCATATTGAAATACCAATTATTCCATAGCATTTTGTGACAAATTTCAGCCCAGCAGTCAACCTATTTCCCCCGTGAATCCGCCAAAGTAGTTCTTGACAGTCAAATCTCCCTGTAACTAGTAGGATACTCCTGGATACCCAAATCAGTAGACTCCAACCGGTCAATCTTCAGCACTGCCCAAAGAGTCCTGCTCTTGTGATCTGATGGAGTAGCAAAAAGAAGGCTGATGGTATAGCACAAATACAAATACGCATGATGGTGCAGGGAAAAAGAGTAAGGAGTAAAGGATGGGGGTGACCTGGACGACGATGGCGGTGAGGAAAGGTGCTGGACGTCGCCACATCTTTTCGACGGACAAAAACACTGCCCAAAGAGTCCTGCTCTTGTGATCTGATGGAGTAGCAAAAAGAAGGCTGATGGTGTAGCACAAATACAAATACGCATGATGGTGCAGGGAAAAAGAGTAAGGAGTAAAGGATGGGGGTGACCTGGACGACGACGGCGGTGAGGAAAGGTGCTGGACGTCGCCACATCTTTTCGACGGACAAAAAAAAATCATCACAAGGATTTCTATTTTTAAGAATTCCTCCCAGTTATCCGCTCCACACAGGATTCGAACACCGGTCGTCAGGAGTAATACTTCTACTTCCGACGAATGGGCTACTGCCCAGTTCTCACCCTACTTCCTTCGACCCGCGTATAATATTCAACCTATTTCGTACTCCCTTCATTCCACAATGTAATGCTTCCTCTATCCACGTGCTCTAACTTTAACCGTAAATTTAACTACCAAGACCGATTGCGGCGGGAGCAAAAATTATATCAATGAATTCGTATTCGAAAGAAGTTTTCAATTATATAATTTTTTCTCTCGCTGCAGTTGGTCTCGTTGGTTAAATTTATGGTCAAAGTTGAACCTCGAGAAGTGCGGGCGCACTATATTTTGGAATGGAGGGAATATTTGTGTGCTTGCTTTCCCTTCAGCCACATAACAGCTTTCTGAGACTTTTTTCTTTTGTTGAGACAAGCTTCCTGAGACATGTAGCTGTACTGCTATTTTATTCCTAGCTCGGCCCATATGTAGAAAGTTACAGTCCTTGGATCTGGCTGATCGACCTTGTGGGCTTAATTAAGTTCTCAAGTGTTGCGCAAAAAAATATTAAGTTCTCAAGAAAAAAACTTTATGGGCTTAATTTACTCTTGGATGATTTTTTTGATCAAGTTCTTGTTGTGTGGAGGTTCTTTTGAACTTCCGGTCCTTTCAAGGGAAGAATCTTTTGCTTTTGGTTTTGGTTCTTCAAGCAACACCCACAAACAACACTGATAATTGGATATATCAAGCAAAACATGTGATATGTACTGATGGAACTGGACACTATCTCTACTTTTCGGTGATATGTTCTTTCTACTTTTCTCTCGGACTACGCGTTGCAAAAAATATATAAAATAAATACAATCTCAGATGCAATACAAGGGTTCCGCTCGCTCACGTCATATGAAATCCTACTCCTGGTCGTCGCCTCATCGGGAGTTGCCTCCTCAAGCATCCTCTTGGTCATGTTGGCCCTCTGCACAAGCCGGACCAACGCCTCCAACACCTCTGACATCGGCAACCTAAATTTTCGCTCAGCCTGCAAACACGCACACATTTCCGAGGCTCGAGTATCATTCACACATATATAAATTTTTGTGTGATGTAGTGAGTGAAGTTCTACTTGGGTATCGATTGTGCATTTGCATTCAAATGCAAAATTTTAATATTGCATAAATTTAGGAGGAGCTCTTACTTATCACATACTTCTCAAGATTGATTTAGAAGTTCAATGATTGGCATGACAATGACATGAGGATGTGGACCCCTCAAAATGCTAAGGACATGGATTGGCAAAGCTTCTAGACTCTATTTTTTTGTTAAGTGATCCAAGATCACATTGAGTCCATAGGAAGCCAATAGTATTAAAAGGGGATGAGGTTTTGAGTATGGCACGGTTCCTCAAGTGCTTGAAGATATTTGCTCCAAAAACCCTCAACCACTTTCTCAATATCACTTCTGTCCAAACCCTAAAAAGCCAACTCGGTCCCACCGAATCTATTCCATCCGGACTCATCGAGTTGATCATATAAAGCCAAAGCCAAAACCTCAAATTTTTGTTGTACCGAGATGACGTTCCGATCTCACTGATTCACACTGACCTAGTTTTTGTATTCCTATCTGTTCACTTTGGAATGACCGAGTTGAGCCAATCAGAATTACCTAAATGAAATCTTACCGAGGTCATCGCACTTCGGTTCCACCGAGATTTCCTATTCGGCCCCACCGAAAAGCCCAACGTTCGAATTTTTTTCATAGGTAGGTCCCACCGAGTTTTGGTTCAGTGTCACCGAGTTGAGTCAAAAGGTTGTAACGGTTGGATTTTTGGTGAAGGCCATTTATACCCTCCACCCCCACCTACTCTCTAGGAGAGCCATCAGAACGTAATGTATGATCGAAAGTATGTCTAGAGGGGGGGGGGGTGATTAGACTACTTGACCAAATAAAAATCTAGCCTTTTCCCAATTTTAAGTCTTGGCAGATTTTAGCAACTTTGCACAAGTCAAGCAATCAACCTACACATGCAATTCTAAGAGTATAGCAGCGGAATGTAAATCATTGCATATGAAGGTAAAAAGGAGGAGTTTGGAGGGAGCAAACGCAATGTAGACACGAAGATTTTTTTCCCGTGGTTTCGATAGGTGGTACTATCGTACATCCACGTTGATGGAGACTTCAACCCACGAAGGGTAACGGCTGCGCGAGTCCACGGAGGGCTCCACCCACGAAGGGTCCACGAGGAAGCAACACTACTAGGGAAAACCTTATACGCAGAACATTAGCAGTAGCGCAGGATAAAAACGCACGATGGTGCTAATTAGCAGCAACGCGGTATTTTAAACCGCGCTACAGATACAGTTATAGCAGTAGCATGCCCGACTACAAAAGCGCTACTACTAAAATTCCCACGGCTTAGCTGATAGGCTACACATAGTAGTAGCGATCTACGTGGAACCGCGCTACCGCTACTTGTTTTGTAGCAGCGCGTTTACGAACAAAGGCGCTACTGCTAATGAAAATAAAATTAAATGGAAAGCAAATAAAAATGCGAAGGAATATCAGTAGCGCTTGTTAAGAAATGCGCTATAGCTACCATAGCAGCAGCGCACTTCCTGGAACGCGCTACTG